AAAAAAAAAAAAAAAAAAAAAAAAAAAAAAAAAAAAAAAAAAAAAAAAAAGAAAGAAAGAAAGGGAAGAAAGAGGCATCCATCCATAACTAGCTTGCTTCATGACTATGGACCAAACATCTGCCCATCTCTATTGCTGTTTACTGTGGTTTAGCTCTTATCCATCTGGCATTTCACCAGAAGACTTGAGTCTCTACACTACTGTTTAGTGGTGATTAGGAACTCAGACTCTGGACTTACACAGTCTGGATTCAAATCCAAGATCTGCTACTTTTAGCTCTGGTTAAGTTACTCAACCTCTATAAGCCTCCTTTTCCTCATCTGTAGAGATAAGAAGAGTATTTGCCTTATAAGGTCGTTGTTATAAAGACCGAATGAGCTAAAGATACATGTAAAGCTTTTAGCTCAATGCTTGACACACAATAAATGTTAAAACACAAAATAAAACAAAAAATGGTAGAACCCAGCATTCATTCTTTTATTTGCTCAGCCAACATATATGAGAGTGCTTACTGTGTGGCAACTGCTATTCCAGACATTGGGGATATAAAAAACAGAGCCCCTTGCCTTACTTGACACTCCAGTGGCTTTATTATCATGAGTGGCAGAGTGGCCAAGAGAGCATGCCATCCAATACAAGCTGTTCATTTAATTCCACTTGTACCATCAAATCCAGGCATTGTGAAATATCCTGGACCTTAAGCAGAATGAGGCAAATTGGTCTGCACAACATTATCCTTTACTCACATTTGAGCTCCATCCAATTTACAAGTGTCCGATGCTGACCCTCTCCACCTGTCATCAGTTTTATCAACAATGCTCACAGGGCTGGCACACAGAGGGCCCATTGTTGAAAATATACAGAAACTTATGGCTTAAGCTGTTCCTGTGGCATAGAGAACACTGACTTTGGAGTCAGGAGACCTGGGTGGATTCAAATCCTAGCTCCACCACTATGGGCAGGAGTAATTTGGGATGAATTATTTAACTTTATCAGCCTCCTGTAGACATTGAGGATGGTGGTTCCTTGCAGATCTCTGGCAGGAATAAAAACACTGTATGAAGAGCCCAGTTCCATGCCTAGCATGGTTTGGGATGAATTATTTAACTTTATCAGCCTCCTGTAGACATTGAGGATGGTGGTTGCTTGCAGATCTCTGGCAGGAATAAAAACACTGTATGAAGAGCCCAGTTCCATGCCTAGCATGGTAGGTATTGATCAATGAAAGGTGTTTTTATTACTCTTTCTACTCTGGATTTAAATTTTCCATGGTTTTGAGTGAGCTGCTGTCATAGCAACTCAACAATAAGGAGAACCACAGAAAGCAATTCACAAAAGCCAGATGAGCCTTTGAAGAGGGAAATAACTTGCTTATGACCCAGAACTCACATGGACAAAGCTGAGATTTGAGCCAGATCTGCTCTACTCAGTACCAAGGCGGGCATGAATAAAGGTTTCCACTATAAGCTGCTACCCAGCTGAAAGTGTACAGCTGGAACCAGGAATGTCAAGCTCTTTCTCCTGCAGCAAATGTCACAGTCTCTAGAAAGTTCCTCATGCAGGGTTTGCTGATGTCACATGGCTTTGACTCCTCTCCCTTCATCAGCTTATTCTTCACACCCTAAAACAGCATTAACTTCTCTTCAAATGGTACTGCTTTCCATATTTGAATAACTTTAAATTCTTCTTTGATAACTTTTCAACAACCAAGTAAATAGGTGAAAAGCATCACCGGTTTGATGTAAATCCCTGAAGCTAAATTTAGCTCTTAGAGCAAATTAAAAAAGAGATGAAGCCCCTTTCTACAGCTCTGGGGTGAAAATCCATGAGAAGAAACCAGCATAATCTGTCCCAAGTCACGAGGAAAGCGAGGCTTTTCTAACACAGTTTCTCAGACAATAAGAACCAGGGTAAAAAGACTTATGCCAAAACCATAATAATCATATTAGTTCTCTGCATTTCCATAGCATTTGATAAGTTGCTCTTCTGCATACAATGTTTATTTGATCCTCACACCTAAGATAAAGTTTTATAGACAAGGAAACTGAGACACCACGAAGCTATAAAATGGGGATCTTAACACCTGTCCCTAGGTTGTGCATTCATTCATTTATTCATTCATTCAATAGACATTTATTAAACATCAACCGTGTATTAAGACTTTTACCGGTGCTGAAGATGCAATGATTAACAAGACAAAGTGAACTTCTACACACACACACACACACACACATACAGGTTTCCACTATTCATTAAATCAAAGGAAACCATGAGCAGGTTCCCAAACTTTGCTTTACGTTAAAATCACCTGCGGAGCTTCTTAAGCTCCCCTTGCTCTGGTCATGCTGCATATCAATTACATTAAGAAGTTAGGTGGTGGCGACTAGCATCAGTTTATTAACGATCCCCAAGTGATTCTAATGCGCAAAATTTGGAACCCACAGCATTAGCAGCAAACACTCCCTAGGCAGACTTCTGCCTCTGCCTCCTCACCTCCACTCTAGATGAACACTAGTCCCTCATTAATGCTAAACAAAAGCTGGGCATCCCAGGCATACATTATATTTAAATTAGCAACTAAAAGGATAATGACAAAAAAGAAGTAATCTGCGTTGACTCCTTGATTTAGACAAATGCGTTTGGGTTTTCTTTGTTCACCACACATCAGACAGCACCCCCTGAGCACTGGGAGGAAACTCTGTAACAGTCCTGAAGTCTGCCTGAAACTGCCTCTCCAATTCAGACTCTCTGCTGCTAAACTCATTCTCAAACACAGGGCTGGGCCTCAAGGTTTCCCAAAGATTCATGGAGTTTGCAAATTAGCATCATGAACCACTACATGAGAGGACCCATTCTCTCCAAAGTACGTCTTGTTTATTGAGGAGACTCTTTAACCCCAAAAGGGAACTTGAGTTTATGGTGTCAAGAATAAAAAGCGGACTATCGGATTTAAGAGACTGCCACCTTAAATATTCTCACCATTAGAAGTGGATCGGGTTTGACTTATTTCCATCCAGGCAACAAAAGCTTCAGAGCTATTTTTAACAGAAGGCTCTGCTACCTTCACGGGAAACACACAATAGATATGCTTTCTCTTGCCCTGAGAAGCCCCTGGTTTTCATAATTCTTAAACCACATGGCCAGCCCAGGCCTTCAATTAACACAGGGCTGCATACTTACACAAAAGTAGACATTATCTCAGCATGCTGTTATTTATTGGATGACCAAGGGAAAAGACGGATTTTTTTACAGTGTAAACCAACCTGCAAAAGGATGGTGGTTTTATATTGACTTTTCATCAGGTTGTTGATGGATTCAAAGAGCCGTCTCATGGATTCTTCAAACTCCATCTGTTCTTTGCCTTCGTAAAGCCTGAAAGAAGACACATATGGGTCATTTCTCACGCCAATGGGCAATACCTTGGAGAGTGTGTACCATCCACAACCTTCATTTAAACTGTAAAAGAAAAAGGGGAGGGAGGCGGGGACTTAAGAGGAGGAGGGGCTGATTCTGCAGTTGCTGCATGCATAATTCACTCCAGGGGAAAACCTCATGTTCACTTTACCAAACAGAAACCCTCCAACTAACACAGCATAAATCCGCACCCTCCCATCTTTTTTTTCAAACCCCAAGGAACTTCAAAGGATACTTGTCCAAGCTAAGGGGACGTTAATAATTTCACCCTTCTGAAAGAATCAGAGAGATTGTGGTCATCGGATTTTTCAAAGAATCTTGGAAACATCAGGAAGAAATATTTTCAAGTACACTGCCCCTTCCACTAAACCACTGCCTACTCATCAGATAAAGAACAACAGCCTGTTCTGTGTCAGGGGCCGTGGCTTCCCCACCCCCTGCATTTCAGCAGTGAGCTATTGCCTAATTTTAACCTTTGTTGCTCTGATTATAAAGGCCCTATGTTGTTACTGTAAAAAAGGTCAACATAACAGAAATACATAACTTAGAACATGAGACTCCTCATTAATCCAACCGGGGAATTTAGCTATTGTCAACATTTTGATGTGTTTCCTTCCAGAGATTTTCCATGCCTATAATAATACACACAGGTAATATTGCATAGGAACGGCCTCTCAGATAAAATCAATCTCCAGGTCCCTGAGTCTTAGCAACCCTTTCCCCCAGCCTGAGGAGTGTTGTTCAGACCAGGGCTTCTTCAAACACGCCTTTATTGCCAGCCGTGAAATAGCCGCAGCGTAATCTGTGGCATCCAGGGTGAAATACACAGAAGAGTGCTCCTGTCTCCAGCTCAGATAAAGAGTCTCTCCCGTCACAGCCCTACACAGTCAGAAACTCCTCAACACCCAGGCCTTGGTAAAGGTGCTCTGCTTAGATAAAGCTCTGACACACTTAACAGGTTGGTTTGCTCTGTGGACCACAGAACAGACCAGTGGATCACGCCAGCCTCAGCGCTGTCTCCACTAAATCCCCTCCCATCCCCCCCATGCTTCTTTCTTCTTCTTTTCTACTTCATTTCTCTGGCTCTGAGTATGTGTCTCTTCTGTTTCTTGAGTATGAATCACTTTCAGTGTCTCTGTGGGCCTCTATGTCTTTATCTCCGCTTCTCTCTGTCTCTCTGTCTCTCTGTCTCTCTCTCTCTCCGCCTCCTGCCCTCCCTCCTCTTCCTCCCGCTTCCTCCCCTCTCTTTCTCTGACTCTGACTCCATGGCTCTCTTTCTGTCTCAGTCACTTTCTGTCTCTCTTTCTTGCTTTTCCTAACTAACCCTCTCTCTAAAGCCCTCCTGAAGAAAGAAGGCGTAAGGGGAAGCCAGTGCTGAATATTCCTTTAGGTTACAGGGACCCGGCAATTGCTGCTGACTTTCTGGGTATCTAGTTCAAGGTCACAGAGAGAAGGATATGAGAGAAGCCAGGAGTCCTGAAGTGGCCCGTGCCTCAGGCTCTTCATTCTCTTCCTCTCCATGGCTCCACGGCTCTCTCTCTCTCTCTCCTTCTCTTCTCTCCCGCTCCCTCATTTACTCTGCTCGCTCCTGAACTTTCTTGTCCTGCTGCCACAGAGACATGTGCTGTAGAGTATGTATTCTACAGTCAATGAGCTCTGGGCTCAAACCTCCACTCTGCCCTGTACGAACTGGATACCTTATTAATAGCAACAAACATTACTGGCTTACAATGCCCTGGGCACTGTCCATATATACATACATATATGAAATCCTTTCCTCCTCACAACCACACATGAGGCAGGCCCTATCATTATGCCTATTTAACGGACTGAGGGAGCTTAAGTAACATGCCCGAGGACAACATGCCAGGAAACGCCAGAGCCAGAATTCAGACCCGGCACCCGGCTCCTAAGCCCATGCTCTCGATCTGTGGGCATGCTACTTTGCTCTACACATTACTGCCTCTCCGCATTTCTATGAGCCTTGGCTTCTCATCTGCAAAATGCAGGCTATAATAGCCCCGTGTCAAAGGATTGTGAGGAGAACCACTCACACATGAAGTGCTGAGCACACAGCTTGGTCCCCAGCGAACGTTAGCAGCTGTCCTGCTGTTGTTAATCACAGAAGCATTGTTATTGCTATCATCCCCACTTCACAGATAAGAAAATAGAAAACTCTTAAGAGGTTGAAACTTGTCCAAATTCCATCAGAGTGGAAAAGATGGACCCAGAGTATCCTATACTGGATCTGGCAGAGAAGACAGGACCTTAATCGAGTGTGGTGGTGGCTGGATTGGCGTCCCCGTGAGATGGTACAGCTTGCTTTTCCTTGTGCCCACAACCACTTGCCCTACCTAAGGAAGGGTCTATCCCTCAAATTTTTTGCCTTGAAATCTTTTATTTTTTCCACTACCCACAGGTGCCTGAAAACATTTAATGAACTACATCCCAATGGTCTATGGTATTGAGCCTGCCCACTGTGTCTCCCGCCCATAATTAATGCCCAGACTTGGCTGCCCGTGTATTTACATACACATGGACTCTTTCTGTGAGGTATGTTTGTGTGTGTGTTTCTGTGTGTGCGCAGTGAGGGTTCTTCTCACCAGGTCATCTTGGGAACCACCTGGCTCCACCACAGGATGGCTTCCAGCAACACTTCTCTGCCAACTAACCCTTCTACCCCACCTCCACTCCATAACTGAATGGCCCCATGGCAGTTCTTTCTCTGGAAATTGTCATTTATAACAAAGAAATATAAAAACAGGTTTTGCTGAGAGTCACCTTAATGGCACCCCTACAAGGGCAATGTTCATGAACTCCTGTCAAAGAGATCCCTGAGGCTGCCCTGGTTCCCACCCTCTCTGTGTCTGATTATTTAACTCTTTGGATTCTATAAGCTGTACAAATAGCCTTATAATAAACTCTCCTTTTTGTTTAGATTAGCCTTGCTGGGTGTCATTGCAACTGCTCTCCAGTCAGAGATTCTGAGAGTGAAAGGATGAATCTGAAATCAAGAGCTATTGGGACGTCCATTGAGCTCTCATTGTGCAGATAAAGAGACTGAGGGTCAGAGTGGAGTAGTGACTTAGCTTCACCATCTTTTCAATAGAATTGAACTGAGGTGGGAAGGAAAAGAAACTTTCAGACTACAAGACCAAGCCAAGGATCTCCACTCAACCTTAAACTTGGTAGAAAACTGAATTTAATTCCTACCAGCAAGAGAAGTGTGATTTGCTGTAGGTCCCAGACTATACCAGTGGTATAGCTTGAACCAGAACGCAGC